TATTGACATAAATGAAAGACATTTATGGGAAAATAAATGAAAATGAGAAAACGATTTAAAACTTAAAATAATGTTTATGTATCAACTAATTAGTAAGGCAATTTTTATTAGAATTTAAAATAAATGAATTAATCATTATCATCTCCATAAAGTTTGTAGAAAATGACTTAAAAGTAAAGGAAACAAATGCATTTATTGTAATTGATCTTTCCATTAAGTTAAATTATTCCAAATTTAGCTCTAATGGAATCCAACACATTATGTGTTGATCTCTCCATTAAGATATGAGACTTTATTTGCTTGTGCTCATCAAGTATTTGCCATAGATCATCAAGTCTTAAGTGCATAAGTTGAAGGGGACCTGCTTGTTATATCCAAATTGTGACCTTTTATAGCACAAAGAAGCATATTGGACCAAATGTAAATGATGATAAAGATAATTATCCTCCAAGATTCAAAGAGGTTAGAATATTCAAGAAATCATAATCATCACATAATTATCCAAGGGCTTACTATGTTTTCATAGATTGTGCCCTGGTAATTTTAAAGATTTCAAATAAAAAATCTTCCTCAGAACTTGTAATATTAAATGTTCACAACCGAAGGGTAGATTATGAGATAGTCACAAAAAAACACTCTAATGTTATATGTTAATAATCTGACCACTTATACAATTTCCTTTCTTTAGATTTCTAACTAGTAACGACAAATATGGATTAAGTCAATCTCAGCCTTCATTCCCATTTTGTAATTTGGATTGAATTATATGGATATTGTAATCAATGACATAAATATTGAAGTGTTTCATAATGTAAATTTGATGTAAACATAAAAATATCCCAAAAATTTAAATTCTTAAGATAGAGTTGTAACCTTGGTTGAGTTTTTATAGTTCACCTATGATGTACTCACAAAGTCATTAACAGCACATTACACTTATATCTCCAAAGTTGCAGACAATATTTTATCCCATTCATCAAGGCTTTTGAATGGTAAATTTTTTTGATAGAAAGCGAAGTAAATAGAAGAATCTAAGAAACCCACTGATATATTGAATGAGAAATAATAATGACTTTGGAAGAGTCCATAGAACATTTGATAATTTGCTCTTGAGAGAATGACCTTATGCATTTTGAATTTACGATGTGATGAGAAAATTCATTTACTTATCAAATGATGAGACTTTAATAATTAGGATGAAAACCATCTATTGAGAAACAATTTCCTTTTTGGGGCCTTTAAATAATTAGGTCTGAACCTTTCTGAGTTAATAATTTAATAAATATGTTCACTAAAATTTTAATGGTGTTGACTCCTATTAATATCAAATGGAAAACACCATAGCATAGCTGCTATGATCAATGACAACTTCCAAACCATTAGGTGTGATAAATAAATTCTATGAGTACGCTCTTCACTTAGATATCTTCACAAATAGGTGTTAGTCATTATGATTTAAAATTTATATTTCTATTGGAGCTACTTATGTGCTATTGACAATTGTGGATCTTGGTAACTATTAGTGTCAACCTTCATAGGTTAGGAGGCACAACTACTGGAATTAAAAAAATGTTTCATACAAACTAGAAAAAATAAATTTTATTAGGATTCAAATTACTTAAATCATATAATAACTTCACTTCAAAAGGTAGCGCATTGCATCATCAATTCTTTGCTAAATTTTTATTCTGAAAACAACATCACAAGTATTTTGGTGCTTCCATATTTTAAAATTATTTATGACAATTCGAAAAGCCATAGTTCAACTCTTATTTTTCATTTACTAATATGATTGCAGTAGGTGGTTGCATTCCAACTTATTACAAGTAGTGATAACTTTAGACAATAAGATTTTTCCCTAAACTTTAGTGAAATTATTCCTTTTGTATTTTGCATCATCTGCAAGTGATTCCCAATATAAATTCATAAATATTGAAATTTTAGATCTAGGTATAAACTTTATTTTCAAACCAATTTATTACCCTCAGTCAAATTTATTCTCCAAATTGAAGGTGTTAGCACATTTTTAAAAAAATCATTCTTGAACTTATTCTTTGCTTAAACCTCATATTTTCAATACATTCAATGTAGTCTCTTATCCAATAAAACTTATTTAGGCTTGATAAAATTATTGAATAAATATCGATTAATAACTTGATTTTAAGTCATATGAACTTTCTAAATCCTATGTATTTTCTCATTTAAGTTCTTTTACAATGAAGCACCATTATTTAAGTATGTTTAGCATGATTTACTTCAACTTTATTTTTATGAAGTTTTAATAGATTTATTTAATGAATAACTTAATGAATGTGTGAAATCATTATTACTTACCCTCAAGATTTATTTATCACTCTAAAATGCTCTTGCAAAAGATTGTTCCATTTGATCAAGGTTAAAAACTATAAATATTTCACTAATTACGTTTTTCTCTAAAATAAGTCAATTTTATTTGATAAAGTAATTATCTCCTAATGTAAGATATTATATTTCTCAAATTGATATTTATTTATTTATTAATTTATATGTTATAATTTAGAAAAATCATGATGCTGCCTAGAAAAAATATGAATAAATGTTACTAAATAATATTTTTTCTATGAATAGAGGGACAAGATGTTTCATTTCAATTTAACATTTTCTATCATCTAAAAAATATTTAGTATCTCGTATAAATTTAATGTCACAATTAAAATCAGTTTTATATCAGGAAAATTTTACACCAATGGCAAATGGCAATGCTTGATATAATTGCAATAGTAGAAATAAAATACATGTTGAATTTTCAATATGATGTGTAACTTTTAAAAATATAAGACTTAGGATGAAAGGTCACATGTTTTTTCTTGTAACATGTCTCCAAGTGTTTCTTTGAAAGTATGTGCATTCATTTTAAGTTTTTATATTATGTAAATAAGACTAGACATGTCTTATTCCCATTAACAATGTTTGTTAATTATAATACACAAACTAATAACCTTCTTAGTTAGAAAATTTTCCAAAATCAATTTTATTTATATAATCAAATGAAATATAATTAAAAAAGGGTAAATAGAAAGTTACATGATAAGTAATGAATCTCTAGTCAAGTTATTTATGATAAATAATGATTCATATGTATTCTTGCAAGGCAAATGTAATATTAAATAAATTAGAATCGTCTATAGGGTTCACTATGAAGAGCCAAGCATGATTAAGCACTTCATTATCTCTCCTCCATTATGTCTTACACAAGCAATGTTAAGGAGAAAGCACAAGCAAATAGAGGGTTGCATTTAGATTTATTTTTCTGCATTTTTTATTTAAAAAATAGCTAAATAGTACCTAGATTAAAAATCATAGTATTACATATTACTTACTCAATATGTACAAAGAGTCATACATTTCGAAACATTTGTAGTAGCACCTTATGCTAACTTTTCAAGCAAAGTCATTTTGAAAGTAGTATACCACATTATATATGAGTATATCAACTTCTGATGAATGCATTTTCAAAGAAGAATGGTAGTGTTAGGTCTAAGACAACCACCAGAAGATCAAACACTATTTACCCAACTCTAAACTAAGAACTATATAAAGAAAGAAAATCTTTTAGGACTGATTTTAGATTACCAACTTCAATATAATGTAATAGGATGATGGCGAAGATGTTAGCATTATATACCTAATAAATATGCACAAAGAACAAATATATTCATCTCTCATGATCCTTATAGAAGTATAGGCTTGGTTTGAATATAATTTCAAAAAGGAAAAAAATGCTCAATATGTATGATAGGTTGACATAGGTTTCGATCCTATTCACCTAGGAAAATTCTCCTAAGTAAAAAGGCAACTATTAGAGTTTAGTCTCAAACGATGATTGAGGTTGGATTGTCCATTACACACATAACAAGTGTGTTAGAAGGTTGTCACGACTCACATTATATTATTTGGTGTTAATACCTACAACTATACGAGAAATCATTAAGGATAGATCCAACTTGGATATTACGAGAACTGAGTAGACTTCTTAAAATGTTAAAAAGGACTGGCGAGAAATGGCATCCGGCTAATACAATTGGAGAAATATTTTAAACTGGCGAGGGAAGCGGGCCCACCGTAGGGCTAACGTGGAGGCGGGATCTCTGACTTGGGCCGTGACGTTACCCATCACTGACGCAGATCAGAGGGGACAAAACTTGAGGCCCCCCCGCAGATGGGCCCTAGGGACATTCCGAATCACGAGGCATCAGCCTCCGATTTTGACGGTCAAGATGGCGACAGCTGGATGGCCTCGGGCTAGCACTCTGCACCCCCTGCTTCTGCCCTTTTCTCAGTCGTGTTCCCACGGATAAGACGCCCTCGGGGCTCCACCACCACGATTTGGGCTCTCTCTCTCTCTCGCTCTCTCCCCCACCCTTCTTCTCACCCTCAACAGTTTTGCAGGATCTGTCGTTCACAATTATGAATGTTTCTCTAGCTAGAGAGTAGAGGGTTATAGAGAGAGAACGTGTGAAATCAAGTGCCCAATCATCCAGTTGAAGACAGATCTTTCTCCAAAAGAAGCTTTTGATATATGACGTATATTGTTTATGTTAGTCTCTCTCAATTGTTTTAGAGGATGGGAGAGAGAGATGAGCGGAGAAGAAGCCGTCCGGACTTAACACTGTTGCTGTCCTCCATCTGACGTCACGTGAAGACATCTCATCTTTTGCTTCTTCATCGGTCTGCAGTCCATTCTCCGTCATACGAAGAGAGAGAGAGAGAGAGAGGACAATGATATGAGAGAGCCAGAGGCGGGCGAGGCCTCTCGTGAAGCACACCGGCAAGTCCATAACCCTCAGCAGATCAACTGCTTGCCGGCGGAGAGCAGAACAAGGGAAGATCAGGCGCAGGTTTTAGTGGGTTCATGGCAGACGGTAGAGTAGATCTGAAGAGGAAGCAAGAAGACAAAGGTATGAAACTCTGAGAGAGGAGAGAGAGAGAGAGAGAGGGAAGTCAGGAGGAAGAAGAAGAGGATGCAGTCGCAGTATGGGCTTCCCGAGATCCAGCAGTTCATGGCAGACGGTGGCTGCTCCCCCCTCTTCTCCATCTCTACCGCCGACGTCCACCCCTCTTCCCAGCCGCAGAAGCCGCAGCACCACCACCATTCCCACTCCCTCCACCACCAGCAGCAGCAACTCCACCACCACCAGCATCTCCATCTCCACCACCATCACCACCCTCAGATGCAACTCCGGCAGCCGCCACCGCTCCCGCCGCCTCCTTCGCTCCATCACTTCCACACCGTTCCGATGACTCAGCAGCTGTTCCACCATGGCCATCAATTCCACCTCTTCCAGCAGGAACAGCAAAGGAGGATACACCAGCAACTCGTGCAGCTGGGTCTTGACCACGACTCAGGCCCAGAGAACTCCACCTCGCCGACGAGGATTATCGCCGCCGCCTCGGGCGGGGGTGGTGCCGGCATATCTCCCTTTCTCAGCGGCGTTGATTTCAAGCTTGGGGTCAACGACAGCATCGGCGGCGGCGACAGCAGGGAGAGGCTCAACGATGAGGAGGGCATCCTCCAGGTTGACGACGGGGAGGAGATCCACCACATCCACCCGTGGACGACAAGAGAGGACTCCAACATTAAAGAACCTTTCTGGTAGGCTTCATTCCTCCTCTTGCTCTCTCTGAACAAACTTCAGATGGAAGATAGACCAGATCCCCAAGGCGCTGAAAGTTCCCATATTTTCTCGGCGCCCCTTTCGGAATGGCTTTCCAATCTCCGACGCTATGATTGCAGCCAAAAAATTGAAGATTTTACTCGTGTCTTTCTTCCCAATGATGATTCAATCAAGGCTGGAGCCTGATTCAGTGCACGCCAAAGTCGTTAAAAATTCTGTTGTTGGAGCCTGATTCCGGAGGAGTTTTTGACTATTGGGTAGATTTTGATTGAATTGATCTGAGAAAACCTTGAGGTTTTTAACCGTGGGTACTTCCGCAGGAGGCCGCTGGATATTGACTATAGCAATAGGAACAGCAAGAGGTGCAAGGAGAAGCAGCCTGACGCCTCCAACAGCGCCAGTAATTTCAAGCTCTTCAGCGAGTTAGAGGCCATCTGCAAGCCCATCAACAGCAGCGGAGACTGCGGCGGGGGCGGGAACCGCCCCAGCGTGAACAACAATCAGCAGACTGGCTCAGGCTCAGTTCTCACCGGTGAGAATCCACCGGCCATTTCCACAACTCCGAGGGCTGACTATGGCCACAACACGGAGACCGCAGACCAGGGCTCAGACTCATCCACTGGAGAAGAGGCGGCGCAGATCCAGAAACCCACCAAGAGCGACGGTGGCAAGAAAAGGAAACGGCGGCAGCACCAGCTGAGCTCCATCGCAGCCTTCATGGAAGGCCTAGTGAAAAAGCTGATGGAGCACCAAGAAGGCCTCCACCGCAAGTTCCTGGAGATCCTCGACAGGAGAGACCGGGAGAGGATGGACCGGGAGGAGACGTGGAGACAGCAGGAGGCCGCCAAGGCCACGAGCGAGGCCATGGCCAAGGCGCAAGACCAGGCGCTGGCCACCTCCCGGGAAGCCGCCATCGTCTTCTTCTTGGAGAAGATCACTGGAGAGAGCCTCAACCTGCCCACCAGAGAGCAGTTCCACTCGCCGCCTCAAGAGGAGACCTCTCATAAGGAAGAGCCCAAGCATGTCGACGGCACCAACCCGGCGATCGTCATCAACCCAAGCCGGTGGCCGAAGGCGGAAGTGCAGGCCTTGATCCAGGTGAGGAGTAACCTAGAGTCGAGGTTCCAGGAGCCCGGTCTGAAGGGACCGCTCTGGGAGGAGGTGAGCTCCGCCATGGCCGCCATGGGCTATCAGAGGAGTGCCAAACGGTGCAAGGAAAAGTGGGAGAATATAAACAAGTACTTCCGCAAGACGAAGGATAGCATCAAGAAGAGGTCTCACCACTCCAAGACCTGCCCCTACTTCCACCAACTGGACCAGCTCTACTCCAAATCCCCCGCCAAGCCGCCCCCGCCGGTGGCCGCCGCTGCCGATAGGGGGGACATGTCGGAGCTCCTCCACACCGTCATGGCGGCCAACGACGAGACCCACGAAGCGGACAGGTCTGCAATAACTGGAAAAGGGGCCTTAAAGCTCCCATGGAGAAAGCCGAATAACTCGGAGGACAATGACGACGACGACGACGACGACGACGACGACGACGACGGTGACGACGACGAAGGCGAAGATGAGGGCGAGGAAGCAGACAGGGAGAGCCAAGGAGAAGGCAGCGGGGACCCGAGGTCATGAACCTTCTTCCTCTCAGTATCTTTAGTCCACCCGGAACTTCTGACCGGACACAACAGCCAGCATGAAGTCAAACTACCGCCGTCACCGCCGCCGCCGCCGCGGCCAGCAGGTCATCCCATCGTCTTCAACCTCCTCCCCATCTTCAATTTGAGCTTAACTATGTACTAGAACACTATTGTGCAAAGCCTACATTTAAAACTTGCCGACAGGACTTTCACTGCCCATCATAAGTCATCCGATATGAGATTTTCCACCTGCAGACGACCGAAATGACCGATGCTCATGTAGAAGGGAAATGCGAGATCATCTCTACGGAGTATCAACTCAACGAACTCAGAAGCCCCGCTGATTATTTCGATGCGGTATTATTCTTATTGATCGACGAGCTTTGCTCCCACATTTAGTGTAATTTGTCGGTATGGAACTGGTTGCGATTCCTCCTGAGATCTTCGGCCCTACGTCGGTGGGGGGTTTCCATGGCTGTGGGGACTGGTCAGACGTATGCTGAAGAAGATGAACAGTCGCAGCCCTTTATTGCGGAGGCGTGCATGGCGTCTAGGTTCGGAGAGCCCCGACGTTGAAGATGTCCTCCGGAGTGGGGTGTGGAGGGGTGCGGAATCAGCGTGGACCGAAATTTATGCAAAGACCCCTCGTCGGAAGATTTATCGGGGAGGGGGCTTGTTCTCGCGGTTGTTGAGTGCCTGTGAATGAGGAGAGAGTGTAGAGAAAGAGTAGAGAGAGAGGGTCTGTAGAGAGAGAGAGAGAGAGAGAGAGAGAGAAAGAGAGAGTAGGGAGGGGGGGGACAGCGAACAGGGATCCGCGTGGGTTTGCGGATTGGTCAGAAAGAATAAAGTTGATGACGTCACTGTAAACAAAATTCAGCCCCGTGGTGCAGCTGCACGTGCTGGCCGATTGTTGCCACTGATCTCTCTCCCTCTCTTCTGCCCTCGTCGGCCTGCGGGCTGCCGCTAGACGAGTTAAGACTACCTCTCTCTCTCTCTCTCTCTCTCTCTCTCTCTCTCTTACTCACTCAATGTCCCACACTCACTCAGTGCTGCTCAGAAAAATGAATGCCTTCTTGTCACTGTGGCGGCAGCTGCGGCCTCCGCTGCAAAGTTGTTGGGTACTCTCCTCAGTGGTACCATCTCTCTCTCTCTCTCTCCCTCTCTCGCTCTCGCTCTCTCTCCTCTCTCCTCTCTCCTCTCTCTCCTCTCTCTCCTCTCTCCCCCCCTCTCCATCTCTCTCTGTATATCACCCTCCCTCTGTCTCTACCCTTGAGACGGGATAGAGAGAGAGAGAGGAGAGGGGGGGGGGGAGGGGGGGCCGTCGGACGAACTCATATGGCATTCAAACACTAAGACCATTCCCAAAACGTACAGACTTACTGTATTCATCTCCCCTATATTTAATTGTCTTAAGATAGAGCTACACGTGAAGAACATATAAAATTCGTTGATTAAATCTATCGGTTCGGTTCATTAATCCTCAATTGGTTCTGAGTGTAACGTCTAAATAATTCAACTTGTTCGGATGGGACAGAGGGAGGCACCTGATGGGAGACCCCTCCGCCAGCTGCCGGGCCGCCGTCCAGCGCTTCACCTGGGTCGCCCCGGCGCTCGGCGGGAGGACCGTGCCGTCGATCGGGAAGCAACGCCATCCCTCTCTCTCTCTCTCTCGCTCGCTCTCTCCCCGCCACTGTCCTCGGCCGACGTCCATTAAAAGAAGGGAGGGAGAGCATCGGCGAGAGAGGGGGGGGGGAACTGCGATTGGCCGTATAGGGAATAGTTACTCTCGCCCATGGTCTCCGTAGGGTGCCATTGGCCGTATAGCGGAACAGTCACTCTCTCCTCGGGAAGGTTGGGAGCAGCTGAGCCCCCTTGTTGCACTTGCATGGACCGGCGCCTTAGTGTGGCTTCCCAGAAAGCCCCTCTTGGCTCTCGACTGTGGGACAGACGGAGGTCTGCCATTTATTGCTTCCTTAGACAGAGAGAGAGAAGATGTATTAGAGAGTCGGGTTTTAACAGAGGAAGGGAGATAGGCAGAGAGAAAAACGATGGATGAGAGAGGGGAGAAGATGAATTAGAGAGTTGGGTTTTGATAGAGAGGAGAGAAGACGAGCTAGAGAGTTGGGTTTTGATAGAGAGGAGAAAATATGAGTAAGAGTTTTGGGTTTCGAGAGAGGAGGGGAGATGGGAAGAGAGAGAAAGACAGATGGTTGAGGGAGTGAGAGAGAGAGAGGAAGAAGGGGGGTAGGTTGCATTGGATCCCGACCGCATAATGGGACGGAGTGTCCGCGGGATGGCGACGGCGACGGCGACCCCACGCTGCCGCGGGGCATGTGACGGAGGGCATGAGAGAACGCTTGGCGCCGTGCGCGGCTGCCCCGGGCCTGCTGCCCGCGGTGGTTTGTCCGCGCTGCCGCCGTGGACCCAAACCAGTCAGGCGCTGGAAGAACAACAGCAGGCGCCCATACGCCCCAGCAGCATCTATGCCGGACGTAGACCCCCTCATCCCTAATCATCACAAATGTTTGTATACCACATATTGCTAGATGAAGATGATCCGACCTAGAAAAAGTTCGCTTTTGGACCCCACATTTCAGCCCGAAATGCCATTTTTCCCTATAAAAGATCAGTACTTTTCGGGAGAAATATAGTATTATCTATGTCAGTATAATATTTGACGACAATGTTTTAGCCACCATTATTATATTTCGTGCAACCATAATTGCCTATGAAACCTTGACAGATTATACCAACATGTTATGTTCATTAACGAAAATACGACCAAACTTACATTGGGTGACGCACTTTAGTTCTAAAAAAATCGAAGGCAAAGGCATATCCTGTCAGATGAAGATGATCAGAGTTTTTTCCTTAATCGTCGCAATTAGTTGTTCGATGAAGATGATCAGACCTAAAAAGAATTCACTTTTGGACCCATATATCAGCCCCGGAAATGGCATTGTTCCCGAGGAAAGATCAGTATTTTTGTGGAGAAATATACAGAATGATCGATATCAGTATAATATTTGGCAACAATGTTCTATTCACTATTATTATATGTCAAACAACAGTGCACCCATGGTTGCATAAAAAACCTTGGCGCATTATACCAACATATTATGTTTACTGAAGAACATATTATCAAACTTGCATTGGGTGATGCGCTTTACTTGTTAAATTATCAAAGACAAAGGCATATTCGTCAGTGCATGTGCTCCCTCCCTCATCTGTGGGACAATTTTATGTTGGGTCCATTTATTTATTCACAAGCTTTTACACGGTGTTGTGAATATGATGGCAATTTAGATAAATATCTATGTAGTGCCCGAATCATTTAATGACATTATTGATGGATATTCCATCATCTGAGGTAGGTTACAATTGTTACCACTTACAGTATTGTTGGATGTTATCACGTATTTTGTATTTTTTTATTTTTTTATTTTTTACGTTAGTTAAAAGTTGATTGATAGAAATGCTCATTCGACAAAAGTTACAAGTCTACATAATCATTACATGTGTGTATAGAACTTTCCACTGGAGTGTATTTAAATGGCTTATATAACTACTACAAACTCATTATTATGCGTGAGATTTAGATCCATAAAGGTTGAACTAAAGTTTTACAAGAACGTCAAGCCCATGATGTTACATGAGATTACTATAAGGAGATAGTTTTTCTCACACATGTTCGGCACCCCACATATTTCCATAAGGGTTTTCCTCAAGCAGTGTTTAAGTTGGGCGCCTAAGGTGCAAACTTCAGTACACTACAAATGGCTAAAATATCAGTGTATTACAATGACCTGTTTAAAACACAATAAAATGTAAATGTGATTGAAATGCCTAGAGCACTAATGTTAATGTTTTAGAGTAGATTCAAAATCTGTGAGCTTGAATTTATGAAGAGTTTGTAGAAGCATTGAAATCCTTGTGATTTATCGTCAAGTATAAGTTATATTATAGAAAAACATTATACATCCTGAATATTTCATTGGTTTTCATACATGCAAAATTAAACATTGACTTTTACCAAAATGAAGATAAATTTGAGCTAAAATAGTATTTGAGCTCCATTTGAAGTCAATATGCACATCCTGGTGTCATAATTACTCTCACTCTAACAGAGCTTCATTTTTTATTGATGCTTACTGAACGGGTAGCTCCATTACTTCACGTATCCTCTTTATCCAGATATATTAATACTATCATCTAGGTACATTAATCTTCAAAACAATTTTTTTAACTTATTGACAAAAAAATAGACGCTGTTAGGAATAAAATATGTCATCTATGGATTAAAGACATTTATAATTCCGATTTTGTTACCATCGCTTACTACTCCTAATGGTTGGATGTGATCTAATGTTCCAAGTTTAACAAGAACATGACATGTTATATATATAAACATGAATGTGTGTGTGTGTGATCAGATTCATGAAAGAATTGCACCATCATCAAAGTCATTCGTCTGCCATCAATAGGGACAGATTTGAGGCACTCACCCAATCAAGACATTGATAATATTGGTGGTTATTGGAATTAAACGATGAGGAACTGAAAGGCTATATAACTCAAAGCTACAAATAAACAGCAAACTTCAAGAACATGCTTTTCTATATTCTTACTTTTCTGAAGAACAAGATTTCCCACATCTAATTTGATGGGAAACTATGAAGCCACCATCATCATTACTGCCGTTTTTTCATGCCCTATTTATCAAGTCAATTGGATAGCTCTCGTCCATTCACATCAGAAAAAAATATATATAACCCGTAGAATCATCAGAACTGGTTCACTAACAAAATTTTCTCTTTAGGAGAGGGAAACTCTCTTTCCAACAATGTGGAATTTTCTGCTGCCGACCAGCTGCATTGAAAAATAAGATGCCGTCAAAACCAGCAGAGTAGACTGACGAGAGAAAATTAAAGAATATGAGCGAATGATCCCACAGACCATAGAAGCACGTGAAGTAGAAAAATAAAACAGTTTTGCACTGGAAAGCATTTTTTGACCTTTATTTCTTCACATTCTCTAGATGAACATCCTATACTAGCAACTGCGACCGTTTCATATATTTCTAAAAGTCTGTCATACAATTTTGCTGACAAATCAGTCAACTGACTTATAAAGGATCTGAAATATTACCTAGTATTTTCATTTTATTAATAAGGTTATTACCTAGTATTTTCATTTTATTTGCATCAGAACATCTCATGCAAAGACCAAGACACCATTGTGATTAAGCACTGACACAGCACCAAACTAAGCAAATGACCACAGGATATTTAAATTGTTAAAAATAGGCATTAAAACGTAAATATTTGATTTAGAAAAATTAAGACAAATTCCATTAGTCCGTCCCACGCTATTACAACCCCAAAATTAATGCAATATCAGAATTTTTTTATTTTACACCAAAGTAGTTGGACCTTATTTCTTTTCCAAGAAATGGTTTAATCGCTGATCTGCCCTGTAGGAGACGTCTTCAAACCACATTGGGATGGTGACACTTGTATCAATAGCTTTGATATAAACTAGGTAAGATGTCTCCCCAATATTGCATCAAGAAGGAGTACCATCAAATGGAAAATGTTCTCCAGCCGGAATAAGGATAGTTCATTTTGATCAAAAGTGTTCCAAGCTATAATTTCGAGATTATTGGTAAAACAGACAACAACAACAAACATCAGGGTGGCAAATAAAAAACAAACCGACATACAAATCAAAAACATAGAAAAAGGGAAACAAGGTTGTCACGCTACTGTTTACACAATATTAATTTGTTCATAGGAGAAACAATGGATACCTTTCTTTTTAAGTATAACAGTGCATCACGATTGGATGGAAAATTTCCAAAAGTGGCAGGTGAGCGATCCTCAATAAGCTCCTTTAACTCTTTCAATTTTAGTGAATGAGATGCGGACTGAAAAAAAAAAAAACAAGAGTAAGCAGAACCATTTTGTCTTTTCATATCACGTGATCCGGTTAAATATATGAACCTGACGAAGAAGGTTCTTGCAGAGCTTTTTCAGTTTGATTTTTGGCCTATGGATTGAATGTGTGTCTAATTCTTCGCAAACTTCAGCTGATTCATCTTGATCAGCAGAGGACTCGTCCTCATTGTTGTCAAATGATGTCTTCTTTCCCTTCCAATAGCAACCAGCAACCTTCTTGGGCCTATCCTTTATGCCAAGACCCTGCTTTCCTTTTGTAGCTTTATCCTGAAAAGCATAAATGAAATCCCAAATCAGCATTAACATCAGCAAATCCACTGGTATTACATCAATAATAAAAATATGTTATTTTTTTCTGTAAAATATGCTAACACCAAGAGCTCTACTAAAAACTGTTTCAATTAAAACAATACTTATACCTATGAAAAAAAATCCTTCCCACTTAAAATAATGGTATGAATTTCGACACCAAGTCAAGTTCCTTCACAACAGAACTTCCAACAATTTCTCTAACATTGGAGCAAATTTTTCGGTATTTCAGAAGCCCTTCCAAAAAGGTTTCTCACCTTAACATGATAAAGATATTTCCAGAAGCGATGAAAATTCGAAATGGCAATTAAAATTATCAAAGTCTTAATCTAGGATGAGTCTAAAATTGAAGATTTACAAATTTACGTCCAAACAATAAGCGATCTAAGCGTAAAGTTATAGCAACATAAAAGGAAAACTAGCAAAATAAACAGAAGCAATGAGCAATGTTACATCGGTTTAATCCAAGAATAGGCAACATTCACCATGAAAGTCCGTCAACAACAAGGCAGAATCTTTGCAATAAGGTTTCGGACAAGACATAGCAATCACCTGCACAAGTTTGTAGAGGTTCTCTTGATCTTCTTCAAGAAATCCATCACTTTTCTCTGATAAAGACTGACTGGTCTTTGACGAATATGACCTTGTGCGAGAAGCTCCAAGAAAACCACCAGATACAAACCCATACTTATGGCCCCACCAATCTAATGGAACATCTTCAATCACAGGACCTGTTAAAAAAATACATAAAGGTAGCCAAACCGTTTTCCCACATAAAGAATTGGATATACAATAAAACCTAAACAAGACCATAATCTATCGTAGCAAAAAGATAAAAACTGAGAATAAATGTAGCTCAGATGAAAAACCATAATGTTTCTCATAAAAAAAAATTAAAAGCATAAGATAAGGGATCCAACATACGAAATGGAAAAAAGCTTACTGCTAAGGACTAAGTGATACAGAAGGAAATTCTAATTCAATCGGGAAAAACATAAAGGGAAAAATGCGTCAAACCATAAAGATACCTTTTTCTTCAATGATTTGAATCTCAGAAGCAAGTTTCAATTCCTTATCGAGAACATCCTGATCATTTTGCATATCATCACTACGCTTAGAAACCTGGGAATGAAAAAAACATTAAGACACCTTTCTACCCAAGATTTGACACAATTTCGTTAAGAAACGAAAATTAACCGGGTTTATTAAATTTTAAAAAAATTATGACACAGTTTCCGAATTTATCGAAGGTTGATACTGGCCAGGAAAACTTCTGCCAGTTTCACTACAGGCTGACACCATGTACGGCTAATTTTCTTTTTTTTCCACATGCAAAATTATCTGTAAATTCCTATGAGTGATGTGAGCCCCTAACCTTTTGTCCTCAACATAAGGTGGTGAACTGATTGCCTTGCTTGCGTCAAAAACCTTGATTCCAGGAAATATGCCAGGAACTAGAGGTAAACATGGCGAGTCCCCCGGGTAAAAAATGCGCATGTACAGATAATTTGCCCTCTGACCAACCACCAACCTAATAGGTTTGGAGAAGGCTTGAAAACTATGATTAATCCGAACACTGCTTAAAAGAGTACTAGACATTAACAGAACCTAATAATGACTGAGAAGAATACACTTAATAAAAAGCAATGGCTTGAATCATGTAAGTCTATTCATTAACACTTCATCCTGGTAAAACTAAACTGATTAAACAGAGAAATTCATCCTGCTCCTAACGTGCTATATATTTATTCAAGGATCATGTCATGCATCCTCAGCTGGCCATTATAATTATACACTGCATATGCTTTTCTTGATACTAGGACAACGTTTATCAGCTAAGGATTCGATAGATGTTGTTCGATGTTTAACCCTAGTTTCTAGCCACTAAATTACTAGATTTCATCAGAAGTTCATGAAAATTTAAACATCATTGCTTCACGGAAACAAAAGAGTGGCGAACACTTCATATCCAGTGTAAATGATGACAAGTTAAGAAAAAACTAGTGAATCGAATGTCAAGAAGGATGACTAGAATTTACAAGGATTCCCTGCAATTCTTTTTCTGAGTAAGCGTTCACAAGTTTCCCCCTTTCTCTTTTCTTATACCTGTTCACAAATATAAAATGCGTGCCACAGAAAGTGAGTAGGTAGCAAAAAAGTTGTCGTTCAAAAAAACAGGGCATCTGTAAAGCATAACCACCTTCCTTGTGGCCTAGTAGCTTTCACGGGCAAATCCACCTTCAACGTCTCACTAGGAGAATCCACCACAGGATCAGACGTCTTTGCTTCTGTGAAGTATGGCATTATCCTATTTGAGACCACTTTCATTTAAACGACAACATGTTGGCAGTGATAATGACCATACCTTCATTCTCAGGCTCTGCAACATGCTGGAGAGTGGAAAAAATTGAAACAAACACGATAAGTAGTTAGGAAGACTACAACATATGAATTAGCAACAATCTTACTTTCACAAAATGTTCAAAAATAAATATTGGCACAATAAGCCAAGCAAGAGGGAGTCATAGAAGAGATTAAAATCACACCACTTTCAATCTCTTGAGAATGTTGTCAAACTGTGTAGTATCAAATGCCCAGTTCTTAGAAGCCTGCTCCAGACCAACACCTGCAAAAAAGGATAAGAATTCAGCCATCAATGTTAAATTGAGAGTGATTACATAATGGAAGGAAAGAATCCCATTAACCTGTGGTATCTTGCTTGTTTTTTACCCTAACATGTCCTTTAATCCCTTGTTTCTCCTTCCCAAGGCCTTCACCTTCTTCCCATCCCTGAAAATCACAAACAAAAATCTTCTGGAGTTGAAGGTTTTCACAAAAGGGGATTGTGTTCCATCTCATAGACATTTCTCAACAATTGTCCCTGTAAAGAGACTAACCGAAAGACATACAACACGGAATGTTGCACAGATTGGGACACATAATCATCAGCACCTATCAGCAAAAGACCCAGTAGCCAAACACAATTCTTTTTGAAAGTGACTGTCGCTACATATGCAAAAAATATCCAAAAGATGTGTACATATACCAGCACTCTCCAATCTTTTGGATATTTTGGATATTCAAAACTGCTCTCATGGTAGACTTGGCACCATCTAAACCTCCAAAGTATAACGCTTTGGTCATTTTCAATAGCAATGTAACACATGTTTCTAGAAATTTCTTACTTGGTCAATAAACTAAGTTTATTATCGTCAATCCACAGCCAGGTTTTCTTTTAACGTGATTTACGACCAAGTGCGATCGAAATAAATAAAAAAACAATAAAAATGTAGCCAAACAAGCCTGCTGTCACCCAAACAGGGGAACCCTTTCCATCGCTGACCCAACCAAAATTGTTCCTTTGTCAATAATCAAGCTCTAATCACGGAATCGAAATTTTTTGTCACCTCAGTAATCATGGATACAGTAGTGCAAAGCGTAGAAAAGATGTTGCACAAGTCAAGTGGTGAGAAACAGAATTTGACTCAAATGCCCTGATAACATTTCCGCAACCCTAGAAAAAACAAAGATGTTAACCAGTATCCATCATCTCCCAGAGTGTGGAAGATCATAGTAAGATGTTTTGACTATGGTCAGCAATAACAATGATATCAATGTACATACAAAATGGTGCAAGGCTAGAGTCAACTATCCATTTTAGCGCCCAAAAGATTGGCCTTATGGGCCTGACTTAAAAAATTAAATATAAAACACAAAATATCGAAAATAGGTTAACATCCTATTGTAAAATCCAAGGCTCCAAATCCTCGTTTAATCGGCAGCAAAGGCCAACGTACAACTTCCAAGGTCTGGAAAAAGATTGCTAAAGTAATAAAAAGCATAATTGAACACTCCTTGGGAGGGGGGGAGGGAGGGCGTAGAGATGGTGAAAAAAGAAAAGGAAATGGTCTAGGGGATAATATATCAAGCAAGCAAGGACCCAAGCAAAGAGATGGATGATAAAACCAATGGTCACAATTCAAGCAGCGCAGGAATCTAGAATTATAAAATTCAAGTGGCCTTCCAGGATGATCCCCGGGGAAAATCGGCATATGTTTGAACTCCAAATCTAACGAACTACAAGTCCCACTTCATAAATTATCTTCCACAGGCGAAGCTAAGAGCTTGCAACATGAGTCAGCGAAGTGAACGAAAGAAAAGGAAGATCACCATCTGCTTCATAAGCCGGAACGCGGCGGACTCCCTCTGGATCCCGGCGTAGCACACAGGAGCTTCGGGCGCTGCCATTGCTCCCTCCCTTACACTCGCTCAGATAGAGAACGCCTCCCTCGCTCTTCTCGTCCCTCAGTCTCTCCCTCCTCGACTTCCCGTCCTTCCCCGTCCGCAGCGTTGCGACGAAAAAGGGCGGGATGCCGTCGGCGAGGAGAGCTGAGGAGAGGAGAAGAGGGCGGCGGCAAGGTCTGATGTCGGGGGCGGCTTAGTCAAAAAGCTCACAGAAACCGAAGGCAACCACCCTCACAAAACCTTACTCGAAATGGGCCTGTGGACCTGTATCATATAATCCGCAGCCGGCCCAAGGTAAGTAATTAGACTATGTATAGTACCCCAACATTAAAAGAATGCTAGTTAGATTATGTATAAGCATCCAAAAACCGTCAGAATCTCTAGATTTTTATCTGAATGATAATCATAACTTAATAATTACATAAATTTTACAAAAAATAAAAAATATGGATATAATTGGTAATTATCAAACATGAACTCATCATACTAGCCCCCCCTATTGAAGATTTTTATGAGAATATGTGAACAAATTTCGACTTATATGATTAAATAAATGATAACCATAATTTAATAATCATATAATTAATAACTATCAGATATGAAACCCATCATGCTTTTGCCCTTCCAAAGAATTATATTGAACAACTTTCAACTTATACCTTTCATGAAGAAAATTTTATATAACAAGTACCAATTGGTCAAACCCCCCAAAGAAGAAGACATATTCTCATAAAATTCTTTAGAATCTCTAGATTTTTATCATAACTTAATAATTATATAAATTGTATAAAAATAGTGAATAAAAAATAGGTATATAATTAATAATTATCAAGCATTAACTCATCATACTAGTCCCCTTCTGAAGAATCTTATAAGAATATGTGAAAAAATTTCCATTTATACCTTTCATGGAGAAAAGTTTATCTATCAAGTACCAAGTGGTCAAATGCCTGCCCACATGACGAGTCAATCCAATTGCCAAAAAAGGTAGTATAGACTTTTGCCTTTTTGAGTGGGTATTAGCTCATTGCAGGTCATTTTCTGGTTTATGATGAGTGTATATGACTCAAAACATATAGTGTCTTTTGTGAAGTAATAAAGGAGATGAATACAATTGAGTAAGGAAGAGGTTAATGATCATATTGGTGAAAATAGTTTGAAATTCTCTTTTTTTAATGGCTTATTATATGAGAAAGTAGTTTTTTAATACCCATTTTTTTCTTTTCATATGGCTGACCCACAATTACCCACTTGGCATCTCTCTCTCTCTCTCCCTCTCTCTCTCTCTCTCTCTCTCTCTCTCTCTCTCTCTCTCTCTCTCTCTCTCTCTCCCGCCCTCCCACTCTACTAATGAACATAATAATTCTCATGCAGCCCCTAGTAGAGAAAAGAGAGTGAGACAATGAAAAGTTGCACCTCTACAAGAAGGATCACTCCCCCCCTCCTATAATGATCAAAACCAATAAAAATTATGTTACATCAATCACCTTGCATTGATTCTAATTTTCATTAGGTTCATCAAAAATCTTAATTTCAATAGTCTTATCACCACATGAGATCCTAGCTATCCCACTAGGCAAATCTATGTTTATCTTAGCTGCATTTAAAAATGATCTTCCTAAGATGATAGGTCCAAGACATAAATTATTTGAAGAACTCGTCTCTAAAATAATAAAATCAGCATGAAATCTATGACCTTTGACATCAATTATGATGTCTTCTAACATACCTTTTAGAGACTTCACAAATCTATCAATAAATCGTAATAAAATTGAAGAAGACTTAAGTTCAAAAATATAAAAATATTCACAAACTGATGCTGATATGAGATTGATGTTTGCTCCAAGATCTAGCAGAGCATTATAGAAGGCATGTCCTCCTATGTTGCAAGAGATAAGTTTTGCTCCTAGATCCTTCAACTTAGGAGGTAGATGGTGTAGAAGGAATGCACTTACTTGAGTAGATAGTTTCTTAGTTCTTTGTGTTCTCTTGGGGGCACACAGCTCCTTCAAAAAATTTGCATAGGTTGGTATTTCTTCAATAGTTTGTAGAAGCAAATTTCTGATATGAACTTGTTGCAAGGCTTTCATCAGCTCTTCATTCAAGTCAGTCCTCTTCATTCTCGAATGTGACTCTATTGCCTTAAGAAATGGGATGGAGGCTGGTTTGTCTTGTTGATGCTTCTCTTCCTTCTCCTTGTCTTCATTTGTCTCCTTATCTTCAATCTTTTCTTCTTCTTCACTTTGTTTTTATTCTTCTGATTCATCAAACACAATAGGGTTAAGAGTTTATTAGTAAGGATTAGCTAGTACCTTTCCACTTCTGAAGGTAGTGATGGCTCTAATATTTTCTATGGATTCATTGCTCTCTCTATGATGGAACTCAGCATGTGAAGGTCGTGGATTGGGCATAGGTTGACTAGGTAGCTACTCACTTCTCTCTTGCATGAGTGTGAGTCTAAATTTTTCTGCAACCTCTACTCAATTAGTTAAAATTATTGTTGGGTCTGTTGCTGAAGTTGTTGAAATTTTTGTTAAGATTTTTGAAACATCATTTGTTTTATCATTTGCTACAAAGCACTCAAAAAAAATCTGAATGTTCAACCATAGGGTTAGAATTGAACTTTGATTGTTGATGAGGTCTAAATGTATTTTCAAAGGGTTAAAACCTAATTTGACTAAGTTGTTGTGGGTTCAATATATTGTCACTATTTCTCCATGAAAATTTTGAGTGGTTCCTAAAATTAGGATTATATTGTGTGTTGTTCACTATCTCAAATTTTTCATAGTCAAATGTGGCTTGCACCTCTTCATGCCTAGGTCCTTCCATTTTACACCTACCTTCATCATGAATTTGATTGCATGAAGAACAATATGTGATATTGGAGTTAGTTTGGTTCATTTTTCAGCTTCTCAAATTGCTTCTCTAGTTGATGTCATTTATTCACTAAATGATATGCTTCATAGTTTCTTCCACTAAATCCACCTTCTCTACTAGATGAATTTCTATCATGATAGGTAGAGTAGACATGTTGTAGAAACTTTTCACTAAATGTTTCAATCACCTCATAAGCTTCTTCACTTTTATTGAAAAACATTCCTCCACAAGTACCATCTAATTACTATCTAAATGTAGGCTAGAATCCATCATAAAATGGTTCTACTAATTGGCTCTTAGGAAAACCATGGTGTGACATTTATGCAACAACTCATTGAATCTATTCCATGCTTCATGAATTCCTCTGCAGATCTTTGACTAAATTCAATGATGAATTTCCTCATAATCTTGGTCTTCCTCCTATGATAGAATTTATCGTACTAAGATTGGACCATATTTTTTTGGTCATACTAAGTGCGGACCACCAATAACTAGCCTCATCTTTTAGTGATAATGGAAATAAAGCTAACCTCATATAATCATTCATTTGTCTAATTGTAGAATAAATTTTATGAAATTCTCTAATGTAGCTGTAAGGATCTTTATTATGTTTTCCATAAAATGTTGGGAGCATAGGAATGATATTATGTTTAATGTCCCTAGTACATGTAGGAGCTTGGAATAATTCTTCACATGCTAATGGAATGAAGTTGTCCTTCAAAAGCCTAGGGCTAAGTTGGGGAACAATATTCTACTGCATACCCTCCTCAAAGTTCAGCTCAATCTCATAAGATTTAAGTTTTAAAATTTTCAGATACCTTCTATTCATAAAAGAAAAGAGATAATATGACTAATAGAACAAAGAAGAAAATTAGACAAAATATTATTATCATTATTATTATTATTATTATTTACCAAATTGTGCTGATGACGACCCCTTGCCCTCCTGATTTTTTTTTCTACAATACTAAGAAACAAATCAAGGCACCTAATATATATATATAACTTTTTTATATTTTTCTTAAAGAAAATTCTGAATTTCACATAAAATCAGCAGATTATCTCCAGAAATAGCACCAAAAATTGTTTTAGATCAGTCATTGTTAATTAATCTTAGAAAATGTTAAAATTTCAAATAGGTAAACACTCTTTTTAGAATTTTAAGAATTAATTTTCTAAAAGAGTATTTAATATAAAATCCAATTTAGCTCTAAAATTAGTAGGATGTTTTCCTATTGAAAACAGAATAATCTTGATTTGTTGGAAAACTTTAAGATTTTTCTCAATACTATACTAATTTCTGTAATTTTTTCTTTCAAACAACTAATACTAAATTATTTTTCTTTAAAATTGGCTAATGTCAGATGACATCAGCCCACAAAGAACAATTGATGGAATTGGGTTCTATTGATATTTTTTGTGGGATCAATTCTAAATGATTCAAAGCTTTACTTTTTTTAAAAATTAAACACTGTGGATGAAAGTGGATTCAATCAATCTAAATATGCATAAAAGTTATGCACAGTAGATTTCACAGAAAATTGAAAAGCATCCCCATCGTTTTTCACCTAGCAGAGCCAAGATCAAAAAAAGGTGTGCAATATATGGCTCATTTACTCATTTGCGCTTCCCAAAACAAATATACAATGATGTGAGATCAACTAGGGACGGCAATAATGTCAACTTGCACTCTCCAATACTCTCCAATACTCTCCAAAATAGGATTTGAAGATGAAACTGAAGATGCCCCTTGAGATTTCCAATTGACTTATTTTTTTGTATTCTCACCTTCATTTTGTCACCTCACAATCCACAATCCATCCTCTAGTTGGTACATGATCCAGCCCATTGGGCTGCCAACATGGAAGGCTGGAGGTGGATCCATGAGTCCCTACTTGGGACTACCACTCAGTGCCACTCACACAAGCCTGCCACCTAGGCTGGTCCCTGCTGCCTACATGGATGGATGTTTTTATAACTTTACCTTTTTTTCTTCTTTTTGTAATTTTATCAATTAGTAAACTCTAAATTTTGACACTACAAAAACCTCATCAAATGTCCTCCAAAAATTCCCAAAAATTTCCAAAAATTCAAGAAAATTCATATTTCTCAAATTAAGCATAAAA